TCTCTGGCCCAACAGTTGAGCTTAAGCCTTGTGACCCCTTTCTAATGTGTATCACGTGGTGTCTTCACCATCCTTGAGAGGCCGGAAATGTACAAATGAACCCCGCTCCGGTTTCCAAGCCTGAACCTACCTCCCCTTCCACGCTACTTCCGGGCTATTCCTGTGACTCACGTTGCCAACAGCATGTGGCAGAGTGATGTGCTCAGCCTGAGTCAAAGCCTTAAGAAAGTCCAGCAAGTCATCCCTTTGTCTCCTTGGAAGCTGGCCACTGACTACAAAAGAACTCTAACTACCCTGCAGAAGAAAAGCCATGTGACAATGCTCTGAAGGAGGAGACACCATGTGGAAAGAAGCCAGACAGAACAACCAGGTGAGTGAATATGGTCCTTCTACGAGTCCAACCCAATGGAGTCTCCCGGACTCAATCCTCAGCTGCCACTTGACTTCAACTCTCTTGGCAAATGAGTTTGCCAAGGTGAACCAACAGAGGAACCGCTCAGCTGAGCTCTGTCCACTCTGAGTCACACAGGATGGATTCCCAGGGTGCCTTGTTACCTAGCAATAGAAAACCCGCCTCTTCATTGTCCACGGCACAGCCCGCCAACTCCCACAGCTACCCCATCACCTCCTACCACACAATCACCTGAGCCCAAATTGAGGGAAAAGGAGAGGACATGGAGTTCAAGAATCTCCCTTTGCACTGCCCCATCCCATTGACAAGCACTGCCACAGTCTGTGTGTGGCTTACTCCACTTTGAATGGCTATGACAGAATACACCAAGCTGGGTAATTTATGAAGTGAATTTATTTCTTGTGGTTCTGGAGGCCGAGGAGTCTAACATGGAGGTGTCAGCCTCTGTTGAGTTCTTACGGCATCAACCCATGGGAGAAGGCAGAAAGGAAAAGGGTGAGCTCTCAAACTATACACCGCCAAGCCTCTTTATAACTGGTGTCAATCTCTCTGTGATGGTGGAACCCTCATAACCTAAATACCACCTGATAGGGTTGTGCTTCAGTGGTAAGTCTTCAACACATTCTGGGGACACAGCACAAGCAGTACCTGTCAGGACTAGACATGCTGGCATGGACCTTGGCATCACCTGAAGGAAAGCTCTGGCATGCCTGTATTCTTTCTAAAACCTCTTCCCCAAAACTCTGGGTGCTCCTACTGAAGTATTATACCACCCTTTAGGTCTCTGATTTTCCCCACAGGAATTCCTGAGTCCAGTTAGGCCTTCCAGGTTGGGCCAGACCGGTCTTCATACCGACTCTGGTACCATGCCTGACTCTCCAACTCTTCCCTGGGATAGAGAGCCCACCTCTATCTATATCCCTAGGAGTTGTGCCTGTATCCTTGAGGACTGGTAAAAATTGCCCTTCATGTCAGGTCCCCAAGACTATGGAAGTGACCCAGGGCGTGACTTGGAGCTGGCCAGTACCCCACAGTCTCCAGTCTGGCTTCATCTCTTCTGTCTGCTCACTCTCCTTCTCGTGTGTCTCACAAACAATATCAGTAGAGTTCGCTGCTCCCTTTCTTCGTGGCTGAAGGAACTACCAAGAAAGGCTTTTCCAGCCGCTGTCATCTCAGGGCCTTTATACACCACAGCCAGCTTTGGGTGTCGACTGTTAAGCCTGGTTATGGTTGGGCTCTTAAAGGTTTCCCAAAGACTCATATACTAAAGATTCAGTAATCAACCTGTGGCATTCCTAGAAAGTGGTGGAACCTTTGGGAGGTAGGTACTAGTTGGGGGATGGGGTAGTGGGGAGCTGGGACACTATCCCTCCTTCCCGCCCAGTATGAGATGCTTCTCTTTATCACATACTCAGAATTTAATGGACTAAGAATTGGTCATAAACTGAAAACTCCAAACCCAGGTTCAATACACACCCTTCTTCAGAGTCCATCTTCACTTTATCATTTTTCCCGTTCTTAGGAGTCTTGACCAAAGAGACTGCCCCCCCCCATGACCTTGTCTTCGAACCCTGCTTCCATCTGAGTCAGCCATCCCCAATGCAGAGCTAGCAGGCCTTTGGGGGTCAGCTTGCAATGCCCCCTCCACAGTGTGTGTTTCCTGCAAAGGCGGACCTCTGGCTTCCCTTTCTTTGTCTGAACCAGGAAGAGATTCCTGGGGAGAGTGTACTTTGCACATTCTTGTCAGTGTCTCACACCCTCCACTAAGATACTTCCTGTTGTCCCTCTTTCCACTAGAGGGCAAAAGGGACACTGTGAGGAAAACCCCCATTCTTTTTTTTTTTTTTTAAGATCCTTTTATTTATTATGCATATAATGTTCTGTTAACATATATACACCAGAAGAGGCACTAGATCTCATTATAGATGATTGTGAACCACCGTGTGGTTGCCGGGAATTGAACTCAGGACTTCTGGAAGAGCAGCTAGTGCTCTTAACCTCTGAGCCACCTTCTCCAGCCCCCAGAAAACCCCCATTCTTCAGCAGGGTGCCCATCACCCCGTCCTTCCCCAGGAGGTTTATGGGGCCCATTTTGTTTCCATTTCTTCCCCTACAGCAGGACCCTCTTCAGAGCCTGTGGGCTCACTGTCTACTTGCTGCTGAGGGGCTTCTGCAGTCTCAGGATCCATACATTTCACACTGCACCCACTGGCTGCTCCCCAACTTACCCTAGTCTGCTGTGAGTACTCAGCCCATCCCAGGAGACTCCAGGGCATACCTCCCTTCCCAGATCTCTGCCTAGTGATGCAGTTTATTCTGATAGGAGGGTGCCAGCCACCAAAAACTGGATCCACGAACCTCCACGCAGGAACCTACATGCTGGTGCTGAGAATTCTAGTCAGTACGTGGGCAGTGGGGCCAGGTCCACCCTTGCCTCCACCTCAGCTGGTTAGAGATGAATTAAACTTCAGGGTCGGCAGCAGGGGTGCTCCAGGGTCCGTGTGTGTGTGTGTGTGTGTGTGTGTGTGTGTGTGTGTGTGTGTTCAGGTTGTAGCTATCTTCCTTTTGGCCCCAGGATTGCAGGTCTTATTAAGGATATTGTCACCAACATATCAACGTCAGGGGCATGGCCCACCCTTCCTTCACATCCTCCGCTTTTTTACTGACCTTTGAGTTTTAAAATCCTAGAGGAATTCGGCCAGTTACCGGAGTTGTTAGTCTGCAGTGCCGATCTGACCCCTTGGAAGACAGACTTGCCTTTTCATGCTGCCGTGCCTCCTCCTACCTGTGCAATGAGGGCAGTGCCAGGTATTGTGGCACAAGCCTGGAACCCTAGCACTCAGAAGAAGCAAAGGCGACAAGACTGCAAATCTGAAGTTAGCCTGAGCCACGGAGCTAGAGACTGTGGCTCAAAACAGAGCTTCCTACGTGGAGGACAGTACCCCACCTTCACAGAAGGGTCAGGAAACTGGTGGTGATGCGCAAGCCTTGTGTAGGTGTTCCTGGTGGCACCGAGTTGCTATTAATAGATGGGAGGGGGTCTGAAAGGTCCCTAAGGACCAGAGACTTCTCAGCTCTCTAAGTGCAAAGGGGTACCACGGGCACACCCAGGCCATCCCAGTGATAATTCGGCTTTGTCTCCTGGGCCTGTTCATGCGCCCCACCCCCACCCCGCCCAGGAAAAAGCAGGGGCACTCTGTTCTTACAAATCCCCACCCAAAACAGCTGGCTGAATCCAGCCAGGAACACTCCTCACCAGACAGAATCTCCACATCAGTATTTCCCCGGGAAATGTGGCCACCAAGAGAACTCAAACGTCTTTCAGAAAGCTTTTTTGTCAGGAGGCTCAAGGTTTCCCTGTCAGATGATGCTTATTATTATTGTTGTTGTTATTATTATTATTATTATTAATTATGCCCTTAGAGACAGACCTGGGAAATGCAGAAAGTCGAATCTGAGCCTCTGCAGAAACAGGTGCTGGGAACACACCCTAAGTTCCTAGAGACACCACTGCTAAGACCCCACGAAGCTCATTCCAGCCTTTCGCCCAGGAATACTATGGTCCGTTTAGAGCGAGTCTGTTTCCTGGACCTGAAGGAACTATCACGAAGGCTGGGGAAACATTTGATAATGCTGCCACAGGACACTTGTCAGGTCTGCCCAGTCTACAACCATCTAACCCCTGTCTCCCCACCTCACCCTGGCCCCAGTCGCATGTTACATTTTTTCATTCAAAATTTGCTACTTTGTTCTTAAGTAGGTCCCAGGAGAAGATAAATTTGGTTCCTTATTTAGGCTAGTTCCTACCAAAACCCAAGATTACCTACACGACTGAGGGCGAGGGTTAGTTTAGTCTTTATGATGACCCCGGGGTCAGCAGCCTCTCTGTAAGGACTGAAAAATACCCCCTCTCTCTCACACACACAAAACACACACAAAGGACTTTAGAAACTTAGGCTCTCACTCAGACTGTGACCATGAGCTCAGTGATTAGAGGCCAAAGAGGCCTCGCAATTGTCACCCAGACAATAAGCAACCAGCTGACTTGACTCAGCTGTCCTATGTAGCCTTGGGGCCAAGCCAGATAACCAGGAACAAGTCACTTTAGGGTACTGAGCCTAAAGGAGGGGGCGCTGCCTGAGGTCCTAGCTATATCCTCGGACAAGCTTGCTGCTCTGCTCAGACTCACTCAAGGCTAACTGGTGCACCTCAGCTGACCAGTAAGTGGGCGGCCCGGGGGAAGCCGGGCAGTCCGCCTCCGGTAAAGAATGACTGACCACTGGTTCGCGGGAAAGGCGGGGCTGTGGGGCCACCTTTCCGAGCCCCAATCATCCATCCGTTCGCCTTGCCAAGACCACCGAGCTCGGCGGCCCCTTGGCGGCCCCTGTCATCCGCGGCAGCGCGCCCGCTTGCTTCAGAACTCGCGCAGGCAACAAGTTCTCCCTTCCCCCGAGCGGCCACGACGTGCTTGGAAGCTGGGTACGAGGGGAACACTGCCCACGCCCCAGGGCACCCCCGCACCCTTCATTCCCCAGAGTGCCGAGGTTGGGTGGATAGCAGGTCCTCGACCCCAACCCTAGCCTCTTACCTCCAGCAGCTGCACGTAGCTGGCGGGGAACCAGCCACGGAGCCCGTCGTCCTTCTCGCCTTCCCACCAACCGCCGTCCGGGACCTGGAGCAGCGTGAGCAACTCGCCCGCAGCAAAGCGTAGTCCCTGGCTGTGCCGCTCCCCGGAAAAGGGGTACAGGGTCCGGCAGCGGGAGCCGGCCATGGCCCTGGCGCCCGGGCTCACAGTGCAGCCCACATCCCTGCCTAGCCCCGCGGGCTGGCCAGAGGCTGCGCGGGGTCCCAGGCGCCCGGTGCTACGGGCTCCCGCGCTCTGGGCGCGCGCCGTGGCGGGGGAGCGCAGGGGTCCCTGGGCCTCCGGGCTACAAGCGCTGCTTGCAGGGAAACGGACGCTCGCCGTCTGCACTGGCTCCGTGGGCTCCGCGGGCTCGGGAGCGCTAGCGGCGACGCCCCCGGGCCGGGCGGCTCTGCGGTCCCCGCGGCGGGCGGAGGGCGGGGCTCAGGGGGAGGAGACCCAGGGGCCGCGGGCTCACAAGACAACTTCCCCTGGCTGCTTCGGCCGGGGACGTCCGAGTGCACTGAGAGGCGCAACTACCCAGGGAGATGGTGCTCAGAGCATCACCCTCGGCGGGGCTCGTCCGAGGTCAGCAGAGCCCGGGAAGACACGGAGCGGAGCGAGCGCGCGCGCTGACGGCCGGTGGCCGGGCGGAGACTATCTCGAGGCGACCAGGGCGGGCAAGGGGCCGGGCCAGACCGGCCACGCCCGCGGAGGGCCGGGCACTCCCCAGCAGAGGGGCTCCCCGGCGACCCGCCACCCTGAGCCGCTGGAATGGGAACGCCCCTCGATTCCTCGGGTTTGGATCTGTGGTGGGTGACAGGCGGCGCTGCTTCCCAGGTGTCTGCTTGGGAATCTGTTTGTGACCATCATTGCAGTGCATGAAGCCAGGTTGAACTTGACTCACAGGAAACTGAACAATGGATAAAGACAGGTTTGAAGGCTGGCGCCGAAGCCGGGAAGCTCGGTGACAGCGTAACACCAGCGCGGGGGCGGGGAGGGGGGGCACGACTCGCCATGCAGATATGAGAAGTCCGGGTTGGTAAGCTTGGAATCCGACCGAAGCGGCTAAACATTGCAAAGGCTAACTAAACAGGAGAGCAAACATCTTTTCAGCTTTGTGGGAAATGGTTAGCGGGAGGGGGTGTCATAGTCTAGCCCTCCTGAATTCCAGATGGGCCTGCTGAGGAGTATCCACCAATTCAGTCAGCTACCAGATATCAATAGGGGTTTGCCCCGTTCCCTGAAGCGTCTGGATAAAACTCTGCCCTTGAGACTCTAGTTAACCTCAGGTGCTGAAGAAGTGTACCTTAAGTCAAGAGTATAGAAGGAAAAGGCCTATTTCTTTGCTAAACTTAAAAATTAAAGTACATTTCCTAACCTGTGATAGCTGGACCCTTCACTATCAATGTTATAATCAGTTGAGCAACCCTAATCAAAAAAATCTAAAGTACAAAATCCAAACATTGTCACTGCTAACAGGATGTTACAGTGGAGGAGGCCATGGTCACAGAAAACGGCAGTGGAGAAGGGTGATGGCTCATCTGTAATCGCGGCCGGAGAGGTAAAATCTAGACAATGACAAGAACTCCAGGTTAGAGTGGCCCGAGAGGAGAGAGAAGAAAGGGACAGAGGAAAAGGGAGAGGGAGGGAAAGAGAGAGAGAAAATATATATATAGCTGAAGATATTGTATAAAGTTACATTTGAGCTGTGTGTATTAATTTAATGTTAGACTTGAATCACAGTCCCAAGACATCACATTACGTACTTGCAAATTCTTAACGTATTTGGTCCCAAGCCTTTTTTTTTCTTTACTTTCCTTCTCCCCTGCCTTGAGACAGGGCCTTAATATGTAGCCCTAGCTTGTCTGAAACTATGTAGACCAGGCTGTCTTCTAACTCACGGAAATCTGCCTGCCTTTACTTTCCAGCAAGCTTTTCCAATAAGGCTATTCAGCCTATGGTTCTTACCAACTATTTTCACTCCTTGCTCAGTAACCTTGTGTGGTTTCCTGTGGCCTATTCAGCTGGACATAAACCTCTCTGCATTTTAGAGTAGGTTATCCATGAAGAAGTCAGTTTCGTAACAGGCACAGGAAGCTTTAAATTCTTGCATAGCTGCCTGGGCTTTGAATCAGGTCCCTTTAGCTCGGTGGTTCTCAGTCTTGCCAGGACATTAGAACCATTCCTGTAGGTTTTCAAAGCCCATCATCTGGGTCCAATCTAGCTTTGAGAGGATCCCATGAGCCATAGTTTGCACCAAAGCCATCTCACCTACGTGGAATCCCCAGCCTGGTCATCCCGACAAGTGCTCCAATGCTAAAGTGCACGGCCTGATGACTTCTGCTTGTCCAGGACTTATGGGGAGTAAAGGTTGCAGCCTAGCTGCCATTAAGACTCTGATAGAGAAAACAGTTGCTAAACTGGGCGTGAGGTCTTCTGCCTGTAATCCCAGCGTTCAGGAGGCCGAGGCAGGGGGACCACCAAAAAGTTTCCAGTCAGCTTGACTGACATCGTGAGGTCCAAGCCTGTATGGGCTGCAAGGTGTGAGTTAGTCTCGAAAAGACAAAACACAAGACAAAAATAACAACAACAAAAGCTTGTTAAATTTACCAACTGCACTAACCAAATTTCAAAAAAAAATTCAAACGCATGGCTCGGGAACATGGCTTTCTGCAAACTGTCCAGATTTGATGATATGGCCTGGATTAGTAAGAAGAACTGACTGGTTTATGGCCATCCTGCAAGGAAGGAGTCTTTATGACAGAAAACCGAGTCTCCACAGCATCCAGAATTCTTGGGCACCAAAGGACCTATCTCAGGCACTGCCACCCATGGGTGATGTGAAGATGTACACATTAAGAGGGAAGAAACTGAATTCAGAGGGTGTGATTTGCCGTTGGTCATATGGCCAGTCAACCACAAAACAAGACTTTGAACTGGGGTTTGGCTCATTGTACCTGGAGTGTTGTTTCTTCTAGCCTGCTCTGCCTATCAGGCCATGGATGGATGGGGATGTGGCTCAGTGGTCCAGTTGCTTAGCATGGGCAAGGTGCTGCATTCCATCCCCAGCAGCATGAGAAAGCAATGTAGACCCCAGATTCCACACCCAGGAGTATCTTACCAGCTCACTGGACCTGGATGTGGTAAAGCAGACTCAGCACTCAGGAGTCTGAGGCCAGGCTGGGCTACATAGTAAGACAAAGAGGACAGGAAGAGAGGAGAGGCAGGGGTGGGGATAGAAGAGGAGAGGAAGGGAGGGGAGGCATAAAGGGAAAGAAAAGAGACAGGAAGGAAGGGTTCTGTGGGGGCAAGACTCTGAAGAGAGAAAATGCTGGGCAATGTGCCGTGTCAGTCAGTATAGAAATAAGTCTAGAATGGCAGAGAGTGGCACTAGTGTCCAAAAAAGAGGTGGAACAGCCAGGCCTGGCGACACAGCCTGAGACAGTATAATTGACTGTAGTTTGAACTCAGTCTGGGCTACAAAATAAGATGCTACCTTCGGAAGGAGAAAACACGAGGGAGCTGAGACAGCAGCTCAGTCGCTGAGGATACAAAGTTGATAGAGTGCTTGCCTCAAATGCACGAAGGCCTGGATTCCACCCAGCACCTCGCAAACCTAGTGTAGTGGCTAGTGGTGCACACTTATAATCCCAGCCCTCGGGAGGCAGAAGCAGGAAGACTACAAGTTTGAGGTAGACCTGAACCATAAGGTGAAACTGCTTCTGGAAGCCAATGCCTGCAACACTCAGCATGGGCAAGGGAGGGCCTAGACTCAATCCCCAGTGCAAAAGAAAAAAGGAAGGAGGAAGGGGAGGAAGGGAAATGTACACCCACACGCAACCTGTGTGACATCATAACAGCCTAAGAACCGAATGTGGAAGTGACCCAAACGCCTGCTGCTTCGTGCCAGACAACTTTCGGGGACTCTGTCTACACAACACGCCACAGAATGGTTACTGAGCTGTGAAAACAATGGAGGACCGATGCGTGCTCCAGCAAGGACAAACTTCAAAGCGACTACGCAAAAGCTTCCAGATGTGAAAGGCCATGAGTTCTATGATTCCTTTATATGAAGTGTCCCCAGAGGCAGATCCATAGAGGCAGTAAATAGATTGGTGGTTGCCTGGGGACAGAAGTAAGCAAAGAAACACAAGGTTTCTTTTGGGGTAGTGAAAATACTCCCAAATTAGATTATGGTAATGCTTGCACAATTTGGTAAATCGCTGGATTGTACACTTGAAACAACTAGAGTTTTGGAATGTAAAGTACACCTCAAAGCTGTAACATAAAACAAAAATAAATACACATCAAGGCCTCCTTCACCTAGTCAGTATATTTTTCTCCACCTCTGCATACTAGTTCATTCAGCAGCAGCCCAAGGACTTGTTGAGTCCACACTGTAGCTGGCATTGTGGGGTACTCTGTAAGTCCACTCTGTGAGCTGGGTACCAAGGACACTCCTGTAAATTCACTCTGGAAGCTGGGCACTGTGGGACACTCTTGTAAATCCACTCTGTAAGTTGGGCACTCTGGGACACTCCTTTATGTTCACTCTGTTAGCTGGGCACTGTGGAACACTTCTGTAAGTCCATGCTGTAAGTTGGGCACTGTGAGACATTCCTCTGAAGTCCAGCTGTTAACCAGGCACTGTGGGACACTCCTTTATGTCCACTCTGTATGCTCGGCATCATGGGACACTCCTCTGTGCCCGCTCTGTTAGCTGGGCACTGTGGGCTACTCCTGTGATCACAGCACTTGGTATCATGAGGCCTGATGATCATGAGTTTGAGGACATCTTGGGCTGTATTGCAATCTCAGGTCAACCAGGCCTATGTAGCAAAAACCCACCTCAAAAACAAACAAAACAAACATGTTATATATTCCTGATCTCAAGGAATAGAGAGATTTAAAAGGAACTGGGTAGTCGTGGCACCAGCCTTTAATTCCAGCACTTGGGAGACAGAGGCAAGTGGGATCTCTGTGAATTTGAGGTCAGCCTTGTCAACGGAGTGAGTTCTAGGACAGCCAGAGCTGTTACACAGAGAAACCCTGTCTTGAAAAGCCAAAGCCAAAACCAACCAACCAACAAACCAACCAACAAACAAAAAAATAAATAAATAAAGAGCAAGGCAAGAAGAATTTCTTTAGAACCATTAAGGAAAAAGATGGATGACTGTAATAGTCAGTTTTGCCTTACTATAACAAAGCAACAGAGTCTTTATTTTACAAAGAAAGTAGTGAGGATGGCACACACTTGTTATTCCAGCACTCAAGAGGCTGAGGCAGGAGGATTGCTATGAGTCTGAGGCCAACTTGACTTATATAGTGAGTTTTAGGCCAGCCAGAACTACATAATAGAACCTGTTTCAAAAGGAAAAGGAAGATAAGAAGGAGGGGGATCATGAAGGAAGGAAGAGAGGGAGGAAGGAGAAAGAAAAAGAGACAGACAAACAGACTTACTCTGACCCACAGGTCTTCCCATAGCCGGGAGACTATATCTGGTGATTTCTGGTGAAAGCCGTTGCTTCCCAAGCAGGGAAGAAAGGATGTGTGAAATCACGTGGTAAGAGAAGGCACCAAGGAAGCCAAACTCAGTTATAGCAGCAGTCCTTGAGGTCTTGCCCTGAGTCACCTC